CTCTCTCTCTCTCTCTCTCTCTCTCTCTCTCTCTCTCTCTCTCTCTCTCTCGTAAACATTATGCACAGTATTGTACTACTCAACAATTTTCACCATGCTTTACCTCAGCACCTTCATCGCCCCGCACGAGTTGTTTGCGGGTAAAAATGGTGAAGTGATGTAGGTTTGATGCCCCTGTCAACTCTAACTGGTTATTGTTTCAGAGGCAGGACCTTCGAGTTCAATGTCCGCCTCCGAAAGTACTGAACCAAATGGGAATTTCGTGAATTTCGTCGGACAGAGCTGAGTCTCGAACCCCCGAACCCACAAACTGTCGATTACGGGTCCGGTAACCTAGCCACGAAGCTACCGACGCCATTTCCGGAGGTTCGCTCCTTCTGTCCTATCAAATATCTACCGTCTTTATCTCTCCTCGTGTTTCTTGTGTATGTTATTCTTTTATGACATCTCTAATCTTTGGCACCTATATGACTTGATAGTGCTGTAAGTGCCGTGAAACTCTTACTGAAACTAAACAATAAGAAAACGCGTCTGATTGTGAAAAGGTCTGCTTTTAGTACTCTTTACTTCTCTTAACACAAACAAATAACAAACAAACAAATGAATAAACAAACAAACAAATGAATAAACAAACAAACAGTATCTCGAGGTCCTAGTTTCTGTTCTGTTTCTTGTACTCTGTGGAGTTTCTCTTCATGATGTCTAAGCAGGGACCGAGCAGACGTTCGAAAGACTCTCTCTCCAGAAAAGCCACCTTGGCCTTCTCGATGGCCTGTACTGTCGCCGTTCTGTTGACATCACAACAACAAACCCATGTCTTAGTAGGCGCTATTGACGGATTTTTTTTCTTTAGTAAGTGTTTTACGGCGCTCGCAACTGCCTAAGGTCATATGAGCGCGCGGGACATATTATTCATTTTCAGTTGGTCGGAAACTGAATTTTGCTCGGATGGCGGCCGAAGCCTACTCTTACCGATTTTAGGCCATCACGGGATCTTTAAAGTGTGCAACTTGCACACGGGCCCTCCAAAATTTTTCGCCCTTGTCCGAGAAGGCTAGGTGTAAATCTTTCCTACCAGAAAATCAGGGGTGTGGCTGAAAGACAGCAGTAAGAATGAGCCAAGGAGAAGCAGTAGAAAGGCTGCAGAAAGAATCTGGAGCTCAGAGGGGGGGGGGTGCAAACGAGGTGAAGGGGTGGGGGCTGAAGGAGGAGACGAAAGCAGACGACAGAACATTGCTAGACAACAGGAAAAGAGGTGAAAGGAGACAATTTTAGAAAGAACATTTTTCCGTCGCTATCCGCATTCGAACCCGGGACCTTTGAATGAGAGACCAACACCTTAACCCCTAGGCCACGAGAGCCCCCTATCGGCGGATTGTCATGATTGTAGTGGTTGTAAAAGTTTTACACCCCTAGAGACACAAGTTAGGTAATGTAGAAAGAGGGCTGCTTCGACCATGCCTGTCAGGGCGTGCCCAGGCAGATGGGATAACGTTTCCCAGCAGACAGATCATCGCCTCAGAACTATTTTGTACAAAGTGTACTTTAGTAAAGAGAATAGTTCTGATGAGGCGACGAGATGGGGTCAGCCATACTCAGTCATAAAACCGTCATATTCTATACTTCAAAAAAAATGTTACGCCCCTATGGACATAATATATATATATATATATATATATATATAATTCACGACTCAGGCTGCTGGGAACATGCCCATCAGGACTAAGTTGAGCCGAGTTGGATTCGGTATCCCACAAGACACTTGGGAGATACTCTGCTAAAAAGTTTCACCCACTCACGATTCTAACTCATGTCTCCAGCGTGCAAACAGCGAAGGGCCTAACCATTGCAACACAGATACAGGTCAAAACATACCTGTGCAAAGGTTTGCACTACTTTAAACACAGAATTTTTTGTTGTTTTTTTTGTTTTGTTTTGTTTTGTGGTTTTTTTTTTACGGCGCTCGCAACTGCATAAGGTCATATGAGCAACAGGGACACATTAAACCTTTTAAGTTGGTAGGACATTTTGAATATTTCCCCGGGTGGTGGCCCAAGCCCACTCTTATCGATTTTGGACCATCGAGGGATCTTTAACGAGCGCAACTTACACACGGGACCTCAAAGATTTCTCGCCCTTATCCGAGAAGGCTAGGTGTTAGATCTTACCTACCTTAAGATCAGGGGTGTAGCTGAAAGACAGCAGTAAGAAGGAGCCAAGGAGTAGCAGTAGAGAGGCTGCAGAAAGAGTTGGGGGCCCAGAGAGGAGGGTAATGGAGGGGAGGGGTGGGGGCTGAAAGTGGGGGCGAAAGCAGACAATAAAAAATTGTAAGAGAGCAGGAAAGGAGGTGAAAGGATAAAAATTTAGAGAAGAAAATTTTCCTTCGCTATTTGGACTCTAATCCGGGACCTATTGAATGAGAGACAAACACTGTAACCTCTAAACCACGAGAACCCCCTAAAACAGTTTTTAACCTAGTCAGAGTCGGATCTTCTGGTAAAAGTAAAATACAATACCCCTCTTAATAAGCCATGTCTTTGATCATATTAACCAGCACATCCAGTCGTTTCATGTTCCTGTAACTGTAAGACAAATCATCATCCTCACTGTGATTCGCTTTGTGGCCCCAGATCTACGAACTAGGTCAAGTCAGTTGCAAATAGTGGGGGAGGGGCGGGCAAAATTTATTTTTACGGGTCTACTTCTATGGCCGCTCCATACCCAAACTAAACATATCAAATGAGGAAAACTGTGTAGAGAAAAAAAAGACTTTGAACTTGCCAGTTCGAATTGACAGTCGCTGGAAACGACACAAAATCTAAATATTTCCCAAAAACAAATCTTGTACGAGTGAGCTTTGATGGCTCCTTTTGATTCATTCTATTCTTGTGGGTTTACAAAGTGATTTTCTTTGCTCACAAGTGTCACCCTGCTTTCTTTACTAAGTCATAGAATGGCATCACGTACCTGGGTTTATCTTCAATAAGAGCAACCTCTCCAAAGTATTTCCCTTTCTGCAGCCGAGCTACCTCAACCGGATTTCCCTGTTTGTTGATGATGACGCTTAGCGTTCCGTCTTCGACAAAATACATTCCATCAGCTTCATCACCTGTAAATTAAAATCCGAAAACAACCGAATCCAAAAAAAGCTAGGAACATTGTGACATGTCAGTTATCTACGTTGACTTTGGAGAGACACCCCAAAAAAAGAAAGTAAATGAATAATAAATAAATTCAGTGGCCAAAACCAGTTAAGAATGTTTCCAGTGCGGAGGATAAAGACTAGGCTTCACAATATAATATTATGTCACAGCATGTTCTTTAGCCAGATAAAAGTTAGATCTATAGTAGAAACAAAGAATCTTTGTATTGGCACACAAACACACACACACACACACACACACA